ATTCTCTTTTATTTTATTATTATTATTATTATTTCTTATTATTTCTTATTATTATTATTATTATTATTATTATTATTATTATTATTATTATTATTTTTATTAATAATATAATTATTATTTTGTTGTTGTTGCATTTGTATTTGAAGTTCCTTGAACTTGAGCATTCGTAGAGTTCGCGATACGTTCTCGATCGTAAACCCGTTTAGTTTTCTTCCGCAAAAGCTTAATGGTCGTTCGCACGAAGAAAATTCGAGGCACGATCGATCCGATCTCACTGTAGGCCAGTTCTTCCTCTTCTTTATTGATAAACTGTTTTTTACTTCCCTCTCTCTCTCTCTTTCTCGCATTTTCCTTTCTTTTTTCTTGTTTTCTGTGTTCAAAGAACAAGAACGGCTAATCTTGAACGCGTTCAACAAGGTAACTCCTGACGAGCGGGCTTCGACGTATGTTTCATCGAATTCATGGTGCATCAGGGGTTGTCCGCTGCCATTATATTGTGGACCTGCTCGAGCTTGTACGCTAATCTTTGCTTCTGCGAGAACTCGTCTTCCTCCAAAGTAACTATCAGTTGTTCGTTGTATTTACCCGCGTATGTGTAAAGTTCGTATAGGGCACAATTTGTGTTGAATTCCGTTGTATGTAACTGCGAGAGAAAAGAATATTTATTTGTCTATAAAATAGAATCGATTTATATTGAGAATAATAAAAATGAAAAAAAGGGAAAAAATATTCAAAGGAAATAGGAATTTGAGCAATACCCTCGATTCTTCGGCAAGCATAGCGTTCATGTCTTGGTCAGATATGGCTGGCATGACTTTGATATCCGAGTAGTAACGTTCTACCCACTCTTTGTACACTGGAATGTCTTTCGCATAAAGTAATTTCGAACTCGGGGAGTCCTTACCTACGAAAAGATAGACAAATTATTATACAGTGAATTCTCCTATGAAGTGAAAGAAAAAATGAGCGTTTGACAAACCTAATCTATGATCCGACGTGGAACAACTGTCCATAAAGGTCTGTGCCACAACGGATAAACACGAGTCGACTATATTCGATTTATGTATGTCAAAGATGAAATTTGGATTTTTAATTAGATTAACCCAAAACCTTAGAGGCAAGGAATTACTCTTCCATGTGTGGACCACTTCGGGGTCGGATATGCCATGTTGAAGCGCTTGGTCGTCCATAAAGTCGAACATATATTTAATAGCAAGAGGAAGCGCCGATCCTCGATGGGCGGTGCTAAATATAGTCTCGAAAAGATCGTCTACGAATTTCTGGAGAGTACCCTTGGTAGCGAGTAACCTCGTCAGATAGATCTCAGAGACCATTTTGTTACCACGATCACCTTCCTTTCGTGCATCCGTATCGTGATGTTTCACCAGATGCCAACACTTCATACCGCCGTCATGATTTTGATTCAATGGCGACGTTGCACGCGAAAGTGGCGGACTCGCCGAACTGAATTTACTGAGATTCAGCGTCTCGTATTTGTGAGATTTATCCGTCTTTTCGGACAGGATCGAAAGATTGTAGATGGACGATTGCTTAGAAACTAAATTTAACGAGGCCGAGTCTGGTACCCTGTAATGATTCAAAGTATTTCGTTTTTTCCATTCTCCTTCCGTCTTAGTCGTCGTGTCCTCGTCGTATAGGATCAGTCTGCCAGATGCTCCGGTTCGCCATTCTTAACATTGAAGGGAGAGAGAGTTATTACACAGTAGTACATACGCATGAGATTGAAAAAGGAGACGAGAAGAGAGGACAATCTTACCGAGATCTAAATCATCTTTCCTGGGTCTTTGGCTGTAAGGCGTAGCTCTGTAAATGGTATCCAATGCCTTCTCTTTAACTTGAGATATCGTGTCGCAGTCGAGAACCTTAACAGGTACGTTCTCCGTATTTGGATCGATTCCACCAACGTAGGCAGTTTGTTGCGATATGGAGACGTAAACGGTCTAAAGAAGAATAACAAGAAGGAAAAAAAAGTTAAGCCGATTGATGGAATCCTTCGAAATCTATACTCGTGATCTATCTGATAATATGAACGGGGAAAAGAGTATGGTGTTTTTACCATTGGCTTAAAGTCGATAGACTGCCTGATCAATTTCTCTTCGGACAAGGAGTAACGTGCTTCGGACGTGATGGCATCGACCGGACCTTTGTCGACTTGCTGCTTTACAGCTCGGAAGAGTACGTAGAGGGGCTCGCCAGCACATTCGCGCATAAATTTGTACAAGAGGAAGGTGAACCAAGCTGACAACATCTTTTCCGCAACGCTTTCCGTTCTAATGGGAGGAAAAAAAGGTGTGTCAATTAGTAACTACATTTATTAATAATAATATAACAAACTTTACGATGCAGACTTGAATTATTATCTCACCTTCTCAAAAACAATTTCGGATGGCTCTTTCCCTCCGTACACTTCTCGATGAGATCCGCTAAAAGGGTTTTTAAAATATCCGTGCAATATTCCATCTTGCTTTGAAGCGTGACCATGATGAGACTAGCCACGTTAACTCTGTCCCTCATCGAAAAGTATCGATTACTTTCCAAAGTTCTTACGAAAAGTAAAAGAAAGGTCTTGTTCATGATTAATTGGCCAAACAAACGTAAACCTTTCTCTTTGCGTACCAATTCCGGTCTGTCCCATTGAAGTACCGGGCTGTTGTCGTCGCTTGGGAAGAGTATCATCATAGCATAAGTGCGATAATCGAGGAAGGGTATACCACCGCTGGTTAAATCGCCGGTCAGATCAGTCATCTCCGTTTGTAATTCGGCAAAGGCTTCCTTACATTCGGCGGCTACGCGAAGCTCTAGAATATCCATTTGTTCTTGCATGTTCTTCAAAACTCTGTTACTCTCCGTCGATTTACGTCTATATGCTATAAGGAATGCTATGAAGACGAATACTAGTATTATGATCGCAGCTATGACACCGATGAGGGCTGGCTTTGATAGCGGACCATTCAAGCCAGCTGGCAAAGCATAACTGAGCTTTCCAATGTTATAACGAAGCGTACCGCCTACGATCACTATCACCTCTGGCAATTCTTGCTTATTAGGAAGTCCTTCGGAGTCCAACGCCGGTGGTTGGGTCAATGGTGGTCGACAGGTCAATTGTTGCCTCGACAAGGAGGTTACGTTGCAGAAGGAATTACCAATTTGTACTATAACGTCGGACTCTTGACAAGCTCGATCCAGATGTTGACCGTTGATCGTGAGGTAATCGCTCTTGTAGTACTTCACCTCCTCGTCGAAGGGGTCGTAAATCGGATTCGGATAGAGAAGGAATGAATTGAAACCGTGCTGCGTGAGATTCTGTACAACGGTTACGTTATCCATTCTAAAACCGTATTCCAAGGGTTGAGGTTTTTCAGCATCTAAGATCACGTTTTCAGGGATTTCAATCGTAGGTGACTTGCACGTCATACTTTCCTGACTGATCACTTTGCATTCCGACACGAACATCTTTTCATCGTAATACACGTACATTTGCGGGCTTTGAATGTAGCCTAGATTTTTTCCAGTAACCGAGATCTTTATACCACCGGCTGGTATACCCTTGGGTATCTTTACCTGACCCTCCACCCCACTCTCGACGCTTTTGATCGTCGGATCATCTACGTACTCGAAGTAACCATCGTAAAGACGGTGGCCGCCGTCAAAGGTCATGTTCAACTTGCCGCTTCTCTTCTTGTCGCTGGCAGTGGTCACGCAAAGGGCTTCGTTAGGTTCTGTGCTTATTATCGAACAAGGAAGCTTGTCGATGTAGGCACGAATTTTGCTACCAGCGTTCATATATTGACCAGTTATTTTGATTACAGTTCCGCCGCTCAACGGTCCATACTTGGGTGTTATAGAAATGATTTTTGGATCTACGAACTCGTAATCGGTCGTCGACTTGCCCGTGAAATCCTCGATTTTGACTATCACAGGACCTCGCCTGTCTTTTAGGTCACCGGGACCATCGACGCGACAGATTATTTGTTTCGTACGGATGTATAAATTTTCGTACGGTTGGCACACTATTCCCGCGACCGTCACTCCAGTGTAGATGTCCTGACAAAATTTAACATATAACGGATTAGATTCCCATTCACACGATAATATACTTTCTGCAATAAATACAACATTCGTAATACCGTGAATACTTTTCCAAGATTGATACCACGTATCGTAATGTTGGTGTTACCCTCCCATGGTCCCATTTGCGGCTCGAACGAATGTATCACCGGATTTGGACAAGTTTGATTTCTATCCAGCCACGGACCGGTACCACGATCGCACTGATCCTTGACCTCGCATTTGTCCGAAAACTGACACCATCCGCAGCCATATTTCTGTGCCAGGGCTAAACACATACCGCAGTTGTCCGCCATATCGCGACATCTGTATATCACCAAGTGGATGTTGTCCGGATTATCCAAAGGTTTCGAGCCACCCCAGATTACCGCAAATGGTACGGTGATATTCGCAGCACGGGAAGTGTAGGAAAATTCTGTCTCATCGCAGTAAATCGTGTCAGCTAGGAGTCTCGCGTTTACGCTGGTCACTCGACCTTCGATATTGAATTGACAAACGAATCGTGTTTGAATGATGAATTGCTGAAAATATATATTTTAATTATGAACTTGTCACAACGTTAATGTATCATCTATCTGAGTCAAAAAAATTCATAGTTGAACTATAACTACTCACCCCTATGATATGTACTTTCACTCGTATAGCTTTCTTGATACCGGAGGACACAAGAATCTCTTGCGAGTCCGTAGAATTGATAGTCGGACAGAAACCTGGTCCACTTCTATAACTTGGGCCCATTCTCTACGAAAGCGAATACATCATGGAGAATTTGACAAATATACATGGAAAATGAAATTCGATTCGGTACTTACGTTAACACCAGTGACGAGTATATCGTTGCGACAATTCTCAGCCGTATCGTGAGTACATCTGTGCCCATCGACGCACCAATCGCAAGGGAAATCCGATGATACGCATTGAGTGCAAGAACTATAAGTGTTGCAATCGAAAAACGTGAAATCGGTTGCAACGAGATCAGGCCCATTGGTCATTCGGACCGAAAGTTTAGCAGTAAAGTGATGTTTCCCAGGTGGTATGGACGGCAAGAGATCGGTTCTCGGGGTAGTGCAATTAACTCCGTATGGTTTTCTCGAAGCATTGGTTATCAACGTTTTATCCAATGCCGAGAAAGCGCAAAGAAATTGGCCCGATAAAGTTGGAAGATTATCGATCACCAATTCTAAAGTCCTTGCCGTTGTACGCTGCAGTTGATCCGGTGTTACCGATGTTATTGTAGTACATCTACCACTTTTGTAAGGTATCCAATAAAGTGGATCTTTAGCGGCATCTTGACAGTCGCTTCGTAAATTGCACTTATTCTCCAACGAACACCAACCACAGTAAGGATCCTTCGCACCCAAGCAATCCCAGCAAGTCTTGTAAACCGAACACTCCTGCACTTTGACCTTCGAGACTGTCTGCCTTGTGAGTACGTACAGGTGCATTAGTTGCGAGTCGAAGAGCAAGTCCGGGTTCACGGGTGAATCAGGGTCGATCTCCAGGTCGCCATACTCCAGGGCTAAACTCGAACTCTCCACCACCACCTGTGAAACAGAACGATATACGAGTCATTTACTTTTTTTCCCGTGCACGATCGAGAGATTGGATCGAGATATTCATTTGCTTTTATTCTCAGTTCATCGTTCTGCCTGTCAAACTAATTGACTCGATTTCATACGAGCAAATCTCAAAAGGGGAAAGACAAAAACTTAAGATTCCTATTTGCGTGGCGACATAATCGCGGGCTGAAATGAAATCTTGTCATGCGACACCGTTATTTATTTGCCTGAATTGTCTGAAATTGTTCGGAGTAGGTATTTTTCGAGGTAGACTATCCCTTTCCTCCCCTCGTACTTTCTTTTTCATTTACGTTAGGAAGAGACGTCGTGTCATAACGACTACTTCTCGTCTCTCTTCACAATCCAGGTGCATCGTCGCAGTGCTTCATTTCCTTGGACTTTACCGCGAGATTCTCATTCGTGGTCGCGGTTAAAAGGGGGATGGCTGGAGCGAGAGGTGGGGTTGCTACATAGGAGGCTAAGAGGAGAGGGTTGCAAATTAAATCTCGGAGAGCGGACAAGTCTCTCTCTCTCTCTTCGTGTTTCCAAGATGACGACAGAAGAGAGACGATTCCGTGGTTTTTCCTTCTCTCCCTATTTCACCATCTTTCTTCCGTCTTTTTCTTCTATATACTAGGTAGAATTACTCGTGATTTTAATAAAAAGGTCAGACCGCTTCTTACCTGAATGATAATGACAGTAATCTATGAGGGTACCGGTATCAAACAACGCAACAACTCACGACACCCATTCTTCTTCTTCTTCTTGGTGTTTTCTTTTAAGAAATAAATATATACGAGGAACAAATTTTCAAATTGACCACATTGTACGGATTTGCAAAGACTCGAATATGTCATTTTCTTTTTGAAATATAATTTACAAAATAATTTTACGGGTGCTTTAGATGATAAATTCTCAATTCTTTGTCCAAACCTACAAACACATTTTTTCAACGCGCGATCGTCGATAATTATAATTTGGAAAATAAATTTGTTTGGCGTTATTTTATTATTTGATTTCGTTTTCGTTGGAACGTTAATTATAGTTGGGCAAAAGACGGATTAAATCGAAATACGAGACTCTGAGCGAAGTAATGCCACACAAGTCTGATCGATTCTAAAGTTGTAGTTTTCTAAACTGACGCGAAACAAAGAGCGAAGAGGAAACGAAACGGACGGTGATGGAAAATTCTTGAAGAAAAAACAAGGATGGAGTTGCTCTCATCGGTCAGAGACGATATAGTTCAGTCTTTCCTTTTATTTCATTTGATTTGATTTTATTTTCTTTCTTGGTACGCGCGTTTCCTGATCCAGAACGAAACTACATTTGGCGAGAACCTATGAGTTTTATTACATCACGAGAACTCGCTTTTAACTTACTTCATTTATTTTTTATCCACAACTTTTTATTCGTTCGAAAAGTATTGAATTTGTTCTTTTCCATAAAAAAGAAAACAAAAATTGTGTGTTTACTTAATTAATAATAATTATTATATGCGGAGTTATTTTATCGGATTGAATCGATGCGTCGGAATTTTCTCAATATTTTATATTTAAATAAACAAAGTATTATTTTATGAACAATTCTGATATTGCTTGTTAGCCGAGACCAATTCCACTACAGTAGAGAGGTAAGGGTAAATATTCATCAGAATTTCATAGAAATATATTGAACGTACGATCTCGATCCGCTTAATTGCGAATACAAATTTTTTCTCTTTATTTCGCGTTGAAAAATAAAGAGTTCATTTTGCGATATCATGGAGCGATTTAGAAGGAAGAAAAAAGATCAAACAAAAAGTCAAGTTCATCTTTTTCTTCTTCTTCTTCTTCTTCTTATACTTGTACTTTTTCGGTAGCTTCTCTGGTTGCATTCTCCGTGGTAGAGAATAACGAGGATGATTAGTATCGCGGCGCCATCCTGCCGGTTAATCGTGCTATCCGTCGAGTAAAGAAAACTTCGGTAGTTTCGTCTCCTTATCCCGTGTTGTGCGTTCGGTGAACGTGCTTGTAAACTTCGTGTCCTCGTCGAAGTAAAGTAGAGAGAGAGAGAGAGAGAGAGAGAGAGAGAGTACACAAGATGAGAACGTGAACGTGGACGTGGACGTAGACGTGGAGAGGGGCAAGAGGGTAAGGAGTACCTTCTCGGTGAACCTGCACGTTACACACAAAGCTTCTTAATGGCCATACCGAGGCTCCGTCGAGGCTCCGTCGAGGCGGAGGTTATATCTAGGGTCACAAATACTTGCGAGCAAAAGGAAGGGTAGGAGCTGCTGCTGTTGCTGCTTCTGCCATTGCTGGATGGAGGGAGGAGTAAAGAAGGAGAAAAACCACTGGAAGCTTCGGGATGAAAGAAATATGATGACGACGATGAGGATGATCATGCTGATGAAGCTGCCGATGATAATGATGAGGATAATAATAATGACGATCAGGATGATGATGGTGGCGAAACTAATCAAGCCAATATTTTTTCTACCTTTCTTGCCTTTGTCATCGAGAGAATCAACACGTACAAGATCGTACAAGATGTAGGTATAGAAAATAATAATTGCAAAGCTATTAAGATAGATAGAGAGAGAGAGAGAGAGAGAGAGAGAGAGAGAGAGAGAGAGAGAGAGAAAGAGAGAGAGAGAAGTAAAGATAGGTGAATGTCTTAATTACTTGCTTCTTGTTATTGTACTTATCTCTCTCTTTCGTTATCTTGTTCTCGGTGTCCCTTTTTTTACGATCTTAAGTAGACACACGGTGCTCGGATTTGGTACATTTACCGTAGCATATGAGAGAGAGAGAGAGAGAGAGAGAGAGAGAGAGAGAGAGAGAGAGAGAGAGAAAAGATAAGCAAACTGCTGGGGTAAAACGCATAATTCGCAAACACGACTGTACGGAGTGACAGAGAAACCCATATTATCAAGATAAACACCGATTGACCTGTTAATTAGGTAAATCCTGATATTTGAATATTTACCGTGTAAATGATGATCTATAGAATTATAGCGTAGCGACGTGGAACGATTCTATCCTATGTTTATATATTGTGTGATTTCCCCTTTGTCGTTACGATCATTTGGAGATAACGTCAACAGCGTTATCGAACGACTGGTGCGCGCGTTTCCAAGAGCTGATCATTCTATCGCAATCAGTATTGTCAAAGCAAATATTTCTATTAGATTGCGAGATATTTTAATAGAAATAAAAAATATAAAACACAAAATTCCAGTGAAAAATGATATTATTTTCATTGATTATTTCAATCGAAAAAGGTGGTACCTTAAACTATGGATCTCAATGGGCAAAGCCATGGCACGTTCTCGCGTTCCATCAAAATATTTTGTGCATTCGTGACAGGCCAATGCTGTGAGGATAGATAGGAAAAGAGAGAGAAAGAGTAGGTGCATGTTCCTTCTACGTATTACGTATTTATATACATATGTACGTATCTTGCAATGGCTTTTCGATCGAGAAACGAGGACGATCATCCTTACCTTTTCTATATCTTCGCAGTGTTATTCGTGCAAAATGAAAAAGTACGTGACTTTTGGGTGATATTATTGGATGCCACAGCTGCTACGATAAAATTCAAAGAAAATGTGCTCGAAAATAAGAAGTGGAAAGTTTTAAATGAAAATCCGAACGAAGTAAGTATATGTAGGGGGAGATAAAAATTTAGTTCGAGCTAAAGATTAGATAGTTGCATTTTTATCTAAATTTTCGGGAAACAATATCGCATCGATGCCATACAAAGGATTTCCATTCTTTTCGCTGTGTGTACTATGTTACACCTAACCACACAGTTTTATCATGGATATATATAGATATTTACCAGGGGGAGGAGACTGGGTGAGATTAGAATAGGGAAATAAAAAAAAAAAAAAGGTAAAAAGATTCGTGGACTATCGTGTTCGGTATTGAAACGACAATGCAAGCTATTTTTTTCGTGCGTGCTAGTCGATATTCGCGCACATTGTTATATCCAGCTATGTTCGTTTTGCGATTGAGGTTTACACTCTTGCATATACATATATACATATACCACATATATATATAGGAGAACGGTGGAAAACAATGCCAGAATATGGAGTGATTTTTAAATATTCTTTTTTCCTTCATATACGAGTACACGATATTCCTACCATCTTCTTTTTTTTCTAAAAAAACCACTTGAAAGAAAAAAAAAGAAAGGGAGGAATGGAATCGTAGAAACGAAAGCATTGTAAATTTGATTCGTTCGAAAGATGGGAGGGGGTATAGACCGAAAGAGGAAAAAGAAAGAAAAAATACATAGTCCGTACTTTATCGAGTGGAATACATAGACACAGGGTAGGAAAAGTTGTTCCTTTTTTCCGAGCTTGTTCGTCCCGTTTTTCCTCATCTTCTCGAAACACCGGCATCCGCTCCGTTTCGTTGCGGACGAAAGAATCGTTTTCCTTTCTAACGTCACATTTGAGATTAATTGCTATTGAATCATCGAGCGAGTCGCCATCGAGAAAGAGAGAAAAAAAAATAACTCTCTTACTTGGCGAACGCTAATTAAACTACGCGGCGGCCTTGATGATCGCTTCGACGAGAGCTTGGAAATAGAAAGGGAGAGAGAATAGTACTGAACAAGATCGAGAGTGAAATTAATACAATCGACATTTTTTCAACGCGAGCCAATTAATTCGAAACTTCGACTTGACTCTTCGAACGGCGAAGGCATGGGGGAGAGGGCTGCTGGTCGCTCGATGGAAAAGGGATTTCGAGGAAAAAAAATGAAAAAGAATAGACATAATGAGAGAGAAAGAGGGGGGGGGGGAGAACTGGAGGAGGAGGTCCTTCTTTCAGAGTGGAAGCTAATCGGATCTTTTTTATTTCCTCCATTTTTTCTCCTACTTCTTCTACTTCTTCTTCTTTTTGTTTTTCCTCGTCTCCCTAATAAATCGTACTTTACTTCGCATTCGTCCTCTCGATCTGAAACTAACGAGTTCAGGAGGAAAAGGAAGGGCT